AGCATTTTCTGATGTCACAAACGGGAGTGGCAAATAATTACCCAAATGTGACCTTGGTTTCTCACAGTAGTGTCATTGTAAGCAAAGAGTAGAAACATTTTCTGTTCAAATATTAACAAAATGCTCACAAAGACAGCAGCATGACATGTTCTCTCTCTTTTAGAGGGTTTTAAAGGGAGAAGGCAGCAGAGTTGCTTAAGATGAGTGGCTCGAAGTGGACGGGGGGCATGCCACCCTCTTTTGCGCTGGGCCACATTTCTCAACTCAAACCAGACCTTCTTGATGCTCCTAAAAATAGGGTCGCCCAATGTGGCAGCTTTAAGTCGATTGTGATATCACAGTGGCTTGGAGTTGGTGACATATGAAAGGGTGAAAATGACTAAGATCCCTCTGAGTGGACGGCTCAGGAAGGGGGGGGGAGGCAAGGATGCTATTTCATTCCGTTGAATCCAATTATGCTTTGCCTTCCGACTGGTTACACTGGATCCCGAGACACTCTTTGGGTTGGGAATGCAAAGAGAGCGGGTTTCCTCCTTTGCATTTGCGGGTCGGAATAAAAGAACAAGGCACAGCTGTCCTTGATCTTCCCACTCCCAAGATGTCAGCAGAAAGTCACGGGGAAAGGGAGAGAAGCTTTCATTTCGGCAACCTGGAATTCCTAAGTGAAAAAAGATGACCCGATGTGAAGTTTTCCTCTTCAGAGTGGGCCTCTTTCACCCAAGAAAGCAATTGCTTCCACATGTCTTGCCCATTTCCCGGCTGTTCTGCACTTCGCGTTGTGATGTCATGACTCAAAACTTTTCCATCTGCTGGGACTGTTTAGGGTGGCACCTCCCTGAAGTGCTTAACTAGTACTGAAGCTGCTTTATGGAAATCTTTTTTTTTTAAACACCATGGTGAACTTCAAACTGAAATGAGGCAGGGTGGGGAAACCGCACATTTTAAAAACAGGCCTGGTTTCTCAGAAGGCCATTTTCTGCCCTACAGGCTTTTGGTGATTTCACATACAACATTTACAGCACGATCCCATGATAGCGGGATGTGTGTTGAAGCCGCTATTAGCAGCAGAGCATCGGAATAGATATTCCAGTTAGCCCACTGTTATAAGCAGTGCTCCCATAGGTGCTGAAAGACCTTTGTTTGTCACCACGCCGGTGTTTCTCACCTCCCCTGTCTTGGAAGAGAGGTTGCTTCCTTTTGTATTTGGCCACAAGGAGGGCTTGTTTTGCAAGACTCATTATTCAGGGATGTCGCTCAGAGGGAGCTTCGTTGCTAGAGCTGCAAGGTGATACTCTGGTATTCTTTAACTATTTTATAAACAAAGGTATCAGAAGGCCCTAAGAGTTACAGATGCGACAGCAGTGTTGGATACAAACTGCCGAGAAGCCTGCAGCTCATTAGGAAAATAAGAATCCTGTCCGTGGTCCATCGAACCCAGTGTTTCCATCTTTCTTGACAACAAGGTTGCTCCTGGGTTTGGTGTAGAATTCTTTCCTTGCCCTAGATGGCCAGCCCTCCTCTTCCCTGGAGGTCTTTCACTCAAGCACTAACTGGGCTTGATTCTGCTTAAGATATCATGAGAGCAGGTCAGCAAACATGGGTAACTCAATTTTCTCACCAGGATATTCAATCCGCTCTACATTTTAGTCTGCCCTTTAAAGGAGCTCTCCGGGGTGCTGAAACCTACCCTAAAAAGAGGCCCAAAACCTTGGAGAGCTCTTGTAAAGTTTAGGCTAAAACCCAGAGTGAATTCACCCTCCCCCCCGCATTGAATCGGAGTCACCAGCCTCCGCAAAATCTGGTGCATTCAGGGTGGGCATGGAAGGTCTGCAGAAATGATCCCATTTATTCCACCTTAATCATTTGTGGACTTGAGACTACTCTGTGAGATACTTGGAGTGTTATCCTCCACCTGATGAATGTATCCAATCTGGACTGGATGAAATGGATTCGAGTCTGCTGAAGCTTTTGCAATAACAAACTTGTTCATTTTTAAGGTGCTCCAAGCAGCGACAGAGAAGAATTTCACAGGCTTCTGGATTCTTGATGGAATCATTCCTTTTGCACCTTCCAAAGCTTTGCCAAAGGACAACGTGAACCTTGCTTCAGGAATTCAGACCTTCACAAGCCCTTTTGTACACACAAATTCATGCATGCTTTTTAAAAATATGGCCAGCTAAACCTGTATACAACGGGAAGATCGAAAGAAACATACCATAGATCATGGGGGAAATGTCGGAAACAATGCAGGCATGGAGTGGGGGCTGGAGGCAGCAAGCAAATAAGCACATTATGGAAAATGTGTACAGAAAATATGTACAGATTTCTGTATGAGAAAAAAAAAGTCTTGAAACCAGCTGTGATTAAAAGATGCTCCATGGAAGTAGGCGGGATTCAGGGAATCGTGGTGAAGTTGAGCCCTGCTGTTTTCCCGCACCTTGGTCAACAAACCCCTTTTCTGTTTCTACTTTAGCAAACTAAGATTTCTCCCGCTTTGGTAGTGTGGCCACATATTTATTTAAAAACATAAAGGTATCAAACTTCAGAGTTCATATTTGAAGTGACAGGAGCTGCCACAGCTTCTATAGCTAGTTTTCAAAAACCCTCCGTGCCCCAAAACAGACACAGTGAAACAGAACCATCTTTTGTAAAACGTCAGTTTGTTTAATAATAAGCAGGATGAGTGCAATGCAGACTGAGTTGCAACTGAAGAAGAATGTGACAGATAAAATGAAGGTCATCATCTCAGGAAACAAGACCTGCTCAAATCTGAAGTTTTGCTTAATTGCGGAAGTCAAAAGGCACCATCCAGCGGGAAAGCCTCTCGCGCTGAAATGGAAAGGTGCTGTACAAGTGCACCGTTAAGAGCTGGGCAGGAGAACCTCCCGGTGGATCGTGCCCCCAAAGTGATTCAAGACAAACGTCCAAATTCATTTAACCAACACGGAAAGTAAGGTACAATTCCTGCATGTCTGATCTTCGACTTTACGGGGATGGCCGTGATATGACTAAACAGCAAAGAATTCTCCAATAAACACATAGAATGATTTTTTTTTTCAGTTTGCAAAATCTGAGGAGAGGGTAAAGGGGAGGTACAATAATGGACTGTATACAGTACTATACAATTCAACGGTATTTTACATACAAAAGGAATGGCCGTAGGACTCGGCCATTTTACTCCAAGTGCCGTAAAAGTAGAAAATAGGCGAGATAAATGTGTCGGGCAGTCCCAGGCGGATCTGCTGGTGAAGCTGTGCTTCTGAGGAGGAAGCACGGCCCAGTTTGGGAGACCTTGTAAAAGTGGCGGAGGAGTTCTGGCGCTCTCCTCAGGGCAGCGTAGCTGGGGGCTTTGGCCGAAGGTGTCAACATTGAGAGGATGTGGGGGCTTAGCTGTTGGTCTTGGCTGGTGGGATGGGTTGACGCTGCCTTGTGCACGTACTACAACCTCCCTCAACTCCTTCCTGGGCTAAAGAATACAGAGAATGGGTGGGCTCCATGTGGGCTCCGGAGGGCCATTTTGGGCTCATGCCCAGGCATTTCACTCTGTTCTTCCATGCTCTCCCCAGACATGCCAATCTCATCCACTGGAGCTTCACCAATGAGGTGCCAAATTTCCTCATTAGGGCTCTGACGGGCAAACCAGGAGGGTCGCCTTCAAGTGCCTAAGGCTTGAAGCTTATTGAGATGGCCAGGATAGAAATCAGTCCAATGTGCGTAGCCAGGTCGCTCCGCAAGGTTGTTTTCCTGATGTGGAAGTCTAGGAAGGAAGGGCCCCAGGACAGGCTGGCCAAGGTTTCTGGCTGCAAAAAGATCTTCCTTGCTTAGAGGAGGCTCTGTCTTCAGACCCTTGCTGCCCACACGGGTGGACGAAAGTGGGGCCAGTTCCCCATCCTCCACCACGTTTAGTTCAATCCTATTCTGTATGCCTAAAGCAGCTGTTGGTGTTCAACAGTTGAGGTTTGTTGAGGGAAAACAAGCAAACGAATAAAGCCTGCCACCCTGTCTTCCGACTGCAGCTTGATCTGCAGACATGCCAGCAAGGGAGGCACATGGAAGGAGGGAGATCAAGAGAGAGACGCTTGATCTGCAGACATGCCAGCAAGGGAGCCACATGGAAGGAGGGAGATTAAGAGAGAGAGAGAGAGAGGACTACTGCTGCTGGCGATGATGCAAAGGCTGTTAAAATCACCCTCGCATGGACTAGCTTAAAAGGCGGACCACCTCCCCAATGCAGAGGACTGCCTCGCTTCTCTTGCAGTCCTGCAGCAATCGTACTGAAAGGTGTGTGAGCACACAGCTGAATTCCCATGCAAGGGTTGTGCAATCCCGGAAGAATGGCTAACGGGGTTGGATGCTTTCTCCTTCTCACGGATGGAGTAAGAATAACCAAGTCTGCTTCACCCACTTTCTGCCCTTCATGGATGCTTTCTTTGTGCGTAATTTGGTATCTTGTGCCTGGGTTGGGGTCAAGGCATCCTCTATGCAACAGGCTTCAATAACGTGGTCCCTCTGCACATGGTCTGGCATCTCAACCAAAGGGTTCACAGCACCCTCTTCAAATGACCATTCCCAGGATCCTAGGCGATAGGAGAAAGGGATATCAAGCAAATGGATGTAACCTGCCTTTAACTTCATAATTTATGACAAAATGCCCTTCATAGTTCAAACACCGGTTTTTCAAAGGAATCATGAGCTATAAGTAATAAACTGGTGTTTGTGTGTGTGTGTGTGATAGTGGTGGGGTAGGAATGAAATTGACTCGATCCATAAATTACAACCCAAGATTTCTGGCATGAATGCATGACACCCTGTGTGATGCTTCGTTGGGTAGGTGCTCAATCAATTATTTTAAACGTTGGTCTCTCAGAAGAAACATTTACATCAGATGTGGCCGTAAATGAATGATGTCTTTAAATAAGCCTTTTGCAAAATCCCCAGAATAGGGGTGGGGAGACAGCCATACATAGTAATTCCAACTTGGGTATTTCGGAAACATTTACATCAGATGTGGCCGTAAATTAATGATGTCTTTAAATAAGCCTTTTGCAAGATCCCCAGGATGGGGGTGGGGGAGAGAAGAGACAGTCATACATAGTAGTTCCAACTTGGGCATTTCATAGCTCTGTTCAAGCTGAGCACAGAGGTCTCCGTCTCCTGGGCGTTTACCGTATTTTGTGGACAGCGCCTGTGAAGGATGGGGGTGACACACACGGAGCCGAAGGCCACTGGCTCAGCTCACAAGACACATCCAGGGAGGGGAGGACAGGTTGTGGGTCCAACCCAAGAAGTGTGATCCTACTCTCCCCTTCCACACAGCTGATTCGACTTATCTTTATGTGGCCAAAAACAAACATCCTTGTGTATTCAGGGATTCGGGTGTTGCAAGAGGAACAATTATTTCTGCTAAGCCAGGTAAAAATGGATCAGTTTATCCCAAGAAAGCCAAGCCCTAAAACCAAGGGTTGTTTAACGCCATTAGTTTTTAAAGTCATTCCCTGTAAGAAGATCAATACATCAGATATAAACCTGTGAGATCACAACCTGATCTAATGAAAAAAGGGTTGTGTTTTTGTGCATTCCTTCAAGGCATCCTAAAGAGTTTCAAATCGGGCGGAAGCTGCAAGACCATCCCCCCCCCCCGTTTCAGTGACCTCCAATGGTAAAATCTATGGTGTATGAAAGAACAGCACAGCCTAAACTTGGGATCCAGAACAGGGGATGTTTAATACTGAGACCTTTTCTCTGAGTCTCTTGTTTCCAAAATTTGCCAATGTTCTGTGGGAGTTACACCTTTCCTCCCTTGTGGGAGCAACGGATCAAATACTACCATGGCATACTCTTTGTTGATCTGCAAGGTGGATGGTTTGGGACTCGAATGGGTTTCCAGAAGAGTTCAGCACCAGAAAAAAAAAAATACAAATTGGCCACTGTTTGCAGTGGCTTCTGTACAAAGACCATCAGAAGCATAGTATAAAAATAGGCCATTTGATACAATGAGCAAAGGAAATCATAGCATGGGTTAACGAAGGAAGATGCGAGTCTGTCTGTTAGGGGAAGCTGCCCTGGAGATGGTAGTCGGTAGGGGTGGGGGAGGCCACTCAGAAGACAATGCCAGCTCCTTTTTGGCTGGTCCTAAGTCCTCCATGCCACCGACGGAGGACGAGCGATCCTCTGGGATGCTGGCAGACATGTCCCTTCAACAGACGTCTACAAATGTCACAAATGTCTCTTCCCAAGAGAAATCCAGTTGAAAGTCAGTTTGCCGCTGAAGCCAGGCTGGTCTCCCACACACCAGGCAGTCACAGAACATCCGGATGCCAAGCGTGCTCAGGGCCCGACGGAAGGTAACGAATGAATTGGCATGTGTTCTGATGTTGCCCCTGCTGCCAAGGTGAGACCACGGCGGGCATGGGTAGCTTCCGACATGCCCCCTAACCGGCAAGGGTCAGAACCGCCTGCTTCTGTAATACTGTTTGCGAATCCGTAGTGTTTCCACACAAGGGACTATTAAACACTTCTACGTTCACAAAGGAAGGGAAAGGGGGGGGGTTATCTTTAGTCCAGGGGCTCTTGCTTAATCCTGATGGTGGTGTTGGGCTGTGGTCTCCTGTCTTCACGACATAGGACGTATTCACTGAACTGAGAGGAATCCACACCTCCGCCACAGGATGCGGCCATCGTGAAACCCTTCTGAAACAACCGCTCGAGCACCTGTGTTTTAAAGAAAGAATCAGCCTGTTAGAATTGGATTAGACCCTCTAGAAAATGCACTCAGGGTTTTTGAAAGGTCTGAATCCGGCCCGCTGAATCCCAGGGGGGGACCTGCTTCCTGACCAGGAGAGGCTGAGAACGGCAAAAGGGTCACCTCAAAGTATTGTCCTGATCCCAAAGGGGTTTCTGTTGATTTTCAAACATTGATAAACCCACCGACGCTGAAGATTCCAGAGCAGTGTGCAACGAGAATACCGCTGACGTAAAACAATATATAACATCAGTATACAAAATTGGACTTGACCAGGTTCGGGCAGAGCAGTTAACTCTGAAAGTTTGTGCTGGATCAAAAAAATAATTATCATCTCCTAATCTTACACTGCCAGGTATGAGGCCGTATTTTGGGAGTGCTTTTATCACTCCTGGCCATCCTCAGTATAGGCTCCTCGCCTTAGTATTAGCTTAGCAGCAGTACCGAACTGAACATTGGGATTACTGCTTTTCTGCATGCTGTATCGACAAAGAATAAAACACGCAAAACCTTTTTAAAATGTGTGATGTAAACATTTTTAAAAAGCCTTAAACACACACACACTTCTTGAAAACAGATTTTTTTTAAAAACAACAACAACAACACTACCCAAAGCCACTTTTAAATACTGGAATGAGGCTGTCTAGGTGGCCTCGTGGGAGCTGAGCGATCAGCCCGTCTTCCATCTGGCAGAGAGCGCTTCACAGTTGAAGTGCTGATGCAGAGCACGCCCCGTTTATCACACTTCCTGTCCTCAGATTAGATAAGGCACCTGCAGCCTTTGTTTCCTGTGAGGGGAATGGGTGCGGAAGAGTCCTCTCTGTTCATCCAGGCATCAGCAGACTCTGTGGAGCAAGTGAGGACCCTGCGAGAGTGGCAGAGGGCATCTGCAGGATTTCTCCTCTGCTCTGCGTTGACGCAACAGGATACTAGCCAAGTTTTTTTTTTAATTGCCAAATGCAAGGATTTATTTTTGTACACAACTACTGTTTTGCCAATGATGCCGGAAGGAAGGAAGGAAGGAAGGAAGGAAGGAAGGAGATGATGATGATTGATGATGATGATGATGGAAAGAAGGAAGGAAGAAAGGAAGGAAGCAGATGATGATGGAGAGAAGGAAGGAAGGAAAGAAGGTGATGATGGAGAGAAGGAAGGAAGGAAGTTGAGGATGGAGAGAAGGAAGGAAGGAAGGAGGAAGGTGATGATAGAGAGATGGAAGGAAGGAAGATAGATTTTGGTCTGTCTGGATCTCTCCACATATGATTCTACAATAATTCTGCAACTTATTCCTAAATGACTGCAGCGTGATTAAAGTCTTGCTTACAGCTAACCTCCACAGAAAAACCAAATATTAATCACATAAACAAGCGCTCGGCAGGGCAGTTCAGTACATTACAGAATAAAATACTGGCTAGTAGTGATATTGATGCTGCCTCTTAAGGAAAAGCAACGCTGGGGGTTCGCTCATAATAAAATGAGGGCATAACTCATCATTAACATGCGGCATCAGAAAGCGGAGGAAAAAAGATCACCAACTTCTCTGAGCGTCTTCCTTATGGGTAGATAAGAGTCTGGTTTCTTGGGGCTTTTCTTTCCCTTCCGATGGCTTCGTTTCTGACACGATGTGGATTTCTCGAAACTCTCCTATTACTAATGCCCCTTGTAGGGACATGAGTCCATTAAGCAATTCTCTCAAAGGACTGTTTTCTTGGCACCTCTGCTAAAGCCTCTGGAAAATCCTGGCAATGCTGGCCAGGGGGTACATGTAGACTGGGCTTCGGGAGGCCACAGGATCCTGGCAGACCTTTCCGACTCTTTTAAGCCTTGTTTTTCATCTCAGGACTTGGTCTGACTACAATTTCCAGAGAGGTATCTCTGTTAATCCCCCTAAGTTAGTCAGTTTCCCTAACAGGGACACCGTCTGCCACACCAACGTTGTCCTTTTACATTTTCCAACGGCACGAACAAATGTTGACAAAATTAAGGAGGGAAAAAGATAAGGGGGAAAGAAAGAAAGTTGGGGGGGGGGAAGGGAAGAGCCAAGTATGTGGCCCTTTAAATATGAATAGATTTTTTTTCAGTGTGAACCCACTTCATCAGACATCATCACCGTGTCAATTCTAACTTCGGAATACCCTTTTTTCCAAGGGTTTCCAGGCAGAGAAGAATCAGACGCGGTTCACCATTCCCTTCTTCTGGGACTACGCAGATTGCCCAAGGCCACCCAGGCTGGCTCTTCTCCTCCTCCCAGAAGGCTCAGTCCAAGGCCACCCAGGCTGGCTCTTCTTCTCCTCCCAGTAGGCCCATGAGTGGAGAATCGAACTGCCAACCTCTGGCTCTGCAGCCAGAGACCCAAGGCCACTGAGATATATTCAGGCTGGGACTCAACTAGCCATGATTCTTTAACACCGTGGGAATCAGTATAAATACAGAGGACATATATTTTCACACGTGCCCCAAAGACACAAAAAGGGCACGCACCCATTCCCCAAAACAAATCTAGATACTGGGGGAAAAACCCAATAAAGGAAACTCCTTAAAACACACCAGGAAGGGAGAGGGGAAGAGAAAGAAAATGCAGACCCCACGTCTCATCCAACAACAACCTTTTCCAATTCAAGTCTGACTTGCCAGGGAGTCTCACGACTCCCAAGTCCCCATTCCGGCTGTCAGGGCCCCAGCCTGGCCGCTTCGCCTCTGGAGAGGACAACTCAAAAGGGGCTGGAGTCCCTCTCCTCCACTGGCCACGAACGGTGGAGAGTTCGCTCTTCAAGAAATTTGCGCTCTTTCCCATGGCGGTTTCTCCCAGTGCTTCCATTCTGGGCACGAGCCACCCTCGTCTGCAGCCAAAGAGACACGCAGATGGTTTCCCTGCACAGCGGTGTAGAAAAAGAGCCAAAGGTGCTATTCCTTCAACTCAGCCCCCTTTCCTCAAACAGCGACTGCGGAACAGGATGGAAGTCGAGGAGAGGAGCGGCAGCGGGACCAGCCGGTGAGCCCTGGGTGGGATTCCCTTGCCAGCATTACATTCTACAGCTGCAGAGCTTTCCTCAGTTTCTCTTGCCCAGAGACGCTGCGGAAGCTGGAGGTGCTGCAGGAAACGGAGATTTCCCCTAAGAGGGACGCCGTCTGCCACACCAACGTTGTCCTTTTCCAACGGCACGGACAAATATGAGGTTAAATTGGCCCCACGCTCCAACTAAATTCTACAGCTGGAGAGCTTTCCTCAGTTTCTCTTGCCCGGAGATGCTGCCGAAACTGGGCCCACGTTCCAATGTGCTTAATGGCACAGAAAGGGCTTTTAACTCTTGTCTGCCTGCCTGCCATTAGAAAATATACCTTCTTTATTCATCATTGATTTTGCAATTTTGCAATTTGTGCCAATCTCTAGTCTTCAATCCTTACTCGCTCAAGGATCCTCTCCCCCCACACCACCATTAGCCACTTCAGCTGCACTCACTCCTTCCTCCTCTCTCTAGGGTTTTTTTTTCACCCTTCCTCCCTCCCTGCCTCTCTCCCTCTTCTTCTTTCTCTCTGCTGTTTCTCTCCTGTCTCTTTTTTTCTCCTAGATTTGGGGAGGCAGGTAAAGCAGCCGTCCTGCCTGGTGTGACCACCAGCGTCTTGTTCCTCTGGCCCAGGTGGCCTTGTCTAGAAGCCACGTGCACCAAAGAGTTGGCTTCAGCTTCTTCGCTGATGGTTAAGGAAGTGTGCCACCTCGTTACTGAAGACACGACTGCAGGATTTAAATGGAATGCACTTAATTAATTCATAAAAACCAGTGTGTTTAAGGTAGCACGTCCAAAGAGACTTAAGGTGCACCCCTATTAATATGATCCTGATCTTTCAGGCATCTGGTTTTGTCCCCTTGGTGATATGACAAGCAAACATACACACACAAATGCACACACACACACACCTTTATTAAAATAAGATATGGATATGCCTGGCCCATACGTTTTCCCCTAAGAAGTTTTTGTCCCCTTGGTGATATGACAAGCAAACATGCACACACAAATGCACACACACACATCTTTATTAAAATAAGATATGGATACGCCAGGCCCATACGTTTTCCCCTAAGAAGTTTAAAGCAGCAAGTTCACAATCCCTCAACCACAATCCTGGTCAAGAAGCTCTTTGGTTCATGACCAGCCACGCTGACAAACTCGAACGGGAACTAAACACAGAAAAGAAATGCTGATTCTTGCTTTGGCCAGGCACGGGGCAGCTACTCTTTTCTTCTCCTGACATGCGTTCCTTCTTAACTCTTCTCAAGAAAAATGTCATTCCAACATAGGATGAGGAAGGCCATATATCCGTATTGTTTACACCCGCTGACCCAGTGATGGGTGTCAGCAACTCTTACACTGTCCCTCCAGCAGAGGAGGGGGAAATGTCTCTCCCTTCAGATTCTTCAAAGAAGCTGCTTCTTCCTCTCCACTGGGCTGGGCTGAGTCTCCTTCCTCCACTAGTCCTTGCCGTAAACAGACTATCGGTGAACTTGGGAGCGCTGCCTGTTGTTCAACCTCCCTGCCTGTCTTCCTCTGGCTTTCTCGCTTCCTGAGTTCATGGCAAGGTCTTTCAGACTTAGGCTGCAACCCAAGATCGACCTCCTTGGTTTAGGCTTCAGTGAAATCTCAGGAGTTCCCCCCCTCCTTGGTTTAGGCTTCAGTGAAATCTCAAGACCACCACCAAGTCTTCTGGATTAGATGTTCTTCCCCCTTCCCCTCCTCACTGCCACCACTACCACCACCACCACCACCACCAAGTCTTCTGGATTCGATGTTCTTCCCCCTTCCCCTCCTCACGCCAACCCTGAAGCTGAAGATACCTGATTCTGTCAGGAATCGTTTCTCGCCAGGTCCAGCTTTCAAGACAGATCCTTCACCATTGCACCCTGGTCTCCTCCGAAGCCCTTCCCGTTTCTCTGAGGCTGTCTCGCACGGGGGTGCCCCAAAGGAACTCTCTTGAGTCAGATCACCCTTCTTTGATGTCGAGCATTATCCCCCATGTCTTGGGAAGGGTAAGCCTATTGTCATGACAGAAAGAAGCTTGCCCTTTTTCCCCCTAGCTACAAAACAGCATCATTCTGTTTGCTCTCCATTGTAACGATGCACAAGATCACTGTTGTTCATAAAGAAGAAGAAAAAATAAAAATCCTTTCCTTTCCTTTTGCACCTCTTGGCTCTTTAAATTGAATATAATGCCTACATTGACGTAGAACTAGGGTGGGCTGAAAAAGGCCTTCTTTTGCTACCTATACGCAACGGTCAAGGCAAGAAGACCTTTATCTCAGGGAAGCCTCCAGCGCTCCTCACCTCAACCAGCTTTTCTACTGCTGAGAGAGTGAACTGCACCCATCACGCTGCCAAAGGAAGGGAGGTGCATCTCGAGAGACTCAGACAGGTAGACGGACAGACGGATTCATGGATGGATGGATAGATAGATTGAGAGAATGAGAGAGAGAGACTGAGAGAGAGAGAGAGATTTCCCAATAATCAATATTGCCGGAGTTCCTTGATGGCTCCGTAGCTCCTCTTGGTTGCTCAAGCCTGCTTCCTGCGCCCTTCCCTCCCTTCCCCAATGAAGGGTTCTCTTCTCTGCACCCAAACCCTCTCGGAGAGGCAAACCACCTTGGAAAAACAGATGAATGCCAAACCTCCCAAGTGAAAAGTTCCGTGCTGTTTTGGTCCCTGCTAATTAGCGACAAGCCATCAAGGCAGCGCCAACGCCGGGGCCAGCTGCGAGGTCACCCTCCCGTGGGGGTGAAGACGCTCTACAGAGGACTCTTTTTCCAACCGGCAAACATTCGCCCGGCGTCCCTTCCTGCACTCTCCCTACCAGCCTGGTTAACTCCCTTTGTTCTGTACGTTAATTTTAAAACTTAAAAAATAAAAAATAAGGAAGAGAGCGGGTGTGTAAAAAGAAAGAACTCCTACCCCCTCCCCCTTAAAGCCCCTTTCAGTACAAAGTGGAACACATTTTGTTGAAAATACTCTGGGCCATTTTTACAGAACATCTTCTTTGGAAAGAAAAAAAAAGAGCGCAGAGATCATTTTTTAAGTCCATCCCGCAGGCCCTATCATTTAATTATGAGTGAGACATAAATTATGCATTTACACATTGTTGCGTTTTCTATAAAGTGCCAGGCAGGAGCACTTCCTCCTTTTCTTCTTTTGTGCCTTTGTGTGTGTATGTGTGCGTGAGTCGTTGTGGTGCTCTCTTTCCTTTCCTAGGGGCACTTTAGAGGGGGAAAAGGACTGCGGGGTACGCACTGATGAAAAAAAAAATTAGCATTTGTCAGCCTAACACCATTACGGGATCAGCATGATGCTAACATACACAAAATCTAAATCTATTTTCCTCTCTGCTTAGACTTAGCAGGGAAGTGAGTGAGTGAGACACAGTGTGTGTGTGTGTGTGTGTGTGTGTGTGTGTGTGTGTGTGCAGACTTCTCTGCTTGCAATTTACACATGAGGCAGAGGTAACTGGCCAGAATCCACCTATTTCCCTGTAGCCGATCACAGAAGAACAGAAAAAGGAGCTGGATGAGGCCTCGTTACCTGCACTGAATTCAACCGGCAGTATCCGTTCAACGGGAATCTGATGACGTGGGTAGGGTCTTGATTCCAGCCCGCATTTACAGAGTTGCACATGACGTCCCCCGTCTCTGGGAAAATCTCTTCAATGAGGGCTTTCTCCCCGCTCAGCGCAATCCTTTCCCCGAGATCCGGCGTCACTCTCACCACCAAGCAGTCACATGGCCGGAAATGTTTCCTCTGCTCCTTCTCTTGTTTCCATCGCTCCAGTTCCTTGATCATCGGCTGCAGCTGGTAGTACTTGGCCTCTTCGTATAAAAGATGGAAGTCCTTAAATAAGGGAGAGAAAGAGACTGGAAACATTTATGGATTTCTTCCCTCCCCCCCCCTCAAAAAACCCACAGATCATTCCTTCTGTTCTGACCTAAATGTTCCATCAAGAATGAAGATCAAAGTTCAACTAGCATGGCAGGATCCATTTAGAGTCATTACTAAAATGAGTGACATAAACTATGTAATTTAATGTAATCTATGTAAAGAATGAAGGCAACAGGCCTCCAGACCCTTGAGTTTTGATTCTGCCAATAATCAATGTTGCTCCAACACAGCGAGGCAGCATAATCCCCACAAAGGGAATGAGCCTTCCGCTTCTTCATTATTACTTTAGGACTAGACCCAGAAATCAGAACTACTGCTTGCAGGAAGCAGAAGTCAATGGACAACTAAGAGCCGTGTGGCCCGGGGACAGAACTGGGATCTTTTGGGTCGATCTACAAGGCAGTCGCTCCGTTGGTCGACCTTGGTCTTTGCCTACTGCCAGCTCTGACTGCTGCAGCTGAGGGAAGGCTCTGGTGAGGTATCTGTTTTAATTCAAGTTCTTTAAACGAAAAAGTCGAGAAATATCTCTGATGGCCTGGAGTAACATGAGCATCAAGTATGTTCACCAGCCTTACATTTCAAGAACGCCAGTGACGGGAGTTAATGATTCCGTAATTCCATACTGATGTGAGTTTGAAAACTGCACCTATGCTTTGGGGATATAATGTTGCCTTAGTGCCCTTGATTGTGCATCACAATGATGGGAGGGAGGGGGCTGGCGGTCTCCAGTACGAACAGGTGCAGAATTTGCTAACCACGGCCAGATACAAATAGCTAAGGAGCAGAGAAAGAGAGCTTACCTACCTGTAACCATGGTTTCTTCGAGTGGGCCTCTGTGAATCCACACAATTGGGGTTATACTGCGCCTGCGCAAGATCTCTCAGAAACTTCTAGAGCTTAAAGGTATGTAATTAGTGGGACGTTCCCTCGTGGAGCACATGCTTCGCCCACCACTGATCCCCTCAGTTCCTTTTTTCCACTGTGTTGGCTAGACCTGTTTTGGAGAACTAGAGCAATCTATTGAATCAATACTTTTTATCTAATCATTGTTTATTTTTTTTCAAATTCCTTTTCAATCATCTTTCTTTATTGGATGCTAGTCCTGTGAGTTTCTTCCAGTTTTTTCCCTCTGTCTGCATTTGCCAATCCTGTCCCCCACAACCATTTTTTCCTCCCTTTCCCCCGCTCTTTTATG